GCAAAAAATCACGGTTTTAGTAACGCAGTAACGCAGCGTTCCTACGGGAAAGTAACGGTAATCTAATTACCTTTTTTGCAATAGTAATTCTTTACTTTACTCATTACTTGAAAGAGTAATCAGATTACTGCCCATCTCTGGTGAGGAGGTAAAATTATTAACATGATCGACCTTTGTTGGAGCAGTGTTCAGATAGCTGCTCTGCTCTGTGTTGGTACAGGGCATTGACGATGATAACAGAGCGTGGATTATATTCTTGTGTGATTGTTAAACGGTGTACAGTGTGTCAGGTTAGTGACCTTTGTATCAGGTGTGTCTCTCACACTGAAATTCCTGTTGTTGTCTCCAGTTTTGCTCCGGAGCTCCGCCCATGATAAGGGTGTTCAAGACCTCCCTGTGCAAACAGGAAGTGCAGTACTCTGTGCTGGTCCACAGCCCGGCCTCTGAGCTCTTCTCAGAGTATCCTCTGCTTGCTTATGATGACCCGAACGCCATCTTCACCTACAGAGACGGACACTTCATCTGGAGGTCACAGGCCATGTGCGAGACACACAGGTAAGTGTTAAAAGTCTCCACTGAAATAAATGTGATCGATCACTTTGATGGGATCTACCACTGATGATGATGAAGATCTGCTGTGATATTATAAAAACCACAAAACAAAGCCAAAGATGATGGACACAACGAGTCCATGCAGTGTCTGATATTCATGTTGGTTTTTCCTTTAATTTGTCATTGGTCTGCTCCCTCTTGTGGAGACGACCTGAGCATCAGATTTAATGCTGGCACTGAGAGCTCTGTCAGGGAAGCAGTCTGAAGTCCTCTGTGAGCTGATTGGTTGAAATGTTGTTTGTGTCTCTGACTTTCTTCTCAGTTGGAAATTGATCCAAAAACCGGACATAAAACGGATGGAGATTGACTATCTAAGTTCTTTTGAACGTCAGACTTATGTCTGGGATAATGTCGCCATCGCCCTGCACGTGGATCATGGACAGGTACCTGCCCCTCCTACTCCTCCGTCTATAGAGACACCTGAAGCATTTTACAAGAAGAAGGCAGTTTGGTTGATTTCATGTCTTATTACTGCAGCTGTGAACTGAGAGGAATTATCACCTCATCCAGAGAGTGCAGAGAAGGATTCTCAGATCTTTTAGTCCAGGATTAAACATTTAAATAAAATGTTAAAACCCAAAAGTTCTTGATGCAGACACAGTCCCATGTGACTGTTGTTTTATATTCAGTTGATCGAATTTTAATTTTAAGTATTAATCTGCAGTTTAATATTTATCTATTAGATTTTTTAAAATAGAAAATAGGGGGAAAAGTCAAACAATCTCTGGCTGAATAATGAGCTGTTGCCTATGAATTTGATAAAAAATGAAACAAAGCGTTGAACTTTCTCACCTTGTGTCTCTGCTCGGCTTCTTTTTCAGGTGCTGAAGTTTGACTGTAATCGACTGAGAGCAAACCTCACGTACTGTGAGAAACCTACACAGGATGTTCCACCTGGAATCCAGTATGACAGTTTTGAAGATGCTAAATCACTGGTTGGACATTTGTGGCCTGATGCAGGCTTCCCGCTGGAGAAGGAGCCTTCACTCAAACTCATTTTCTAAGGTAATGAATCAGTAATTAAAGGAATAGTTTCTGCTGTTAGGTTGGAAAATGGCAGGTTCATTCGACACCAAGCCACAGACAGGTAGACCAACAATAATTTCAGCCACAATAGATGATGATGAAGATGCACAATAAGGAAAAAATAGGCTGCATGGTCGAGTCTTAAGAAGAAAGTCGTTACTACGAAGATGCCACAAAACTGCCCGTTTACAATCAGCCAACAGCACAGAGAAACTTCTTCTAAAATGAAGCTTCTGCAGAGGTCCTCTCCATCTCCTGACCTCAGCATCATTCAGCCACTCAGAGGAGATCTCAGACCTGCAGCTCCAGACAGACCCAGAAAGATGTGAACAGGCCAAAGTTTTACCCAGAGGAATGGGCAGCTTCTGAGACAATAAAGTTCCCTGAACACAAACACCATAACAAGCTGTCATTAATATGAGAGGAGGCGATACATCATATTAAGAACCACAAACACAAAAGTTTGATAATGAAGCTTCACACAGACAGAAAAGTTTTATATAATTATTCATGTTCTCTGAGGAAAAATCACACATTCTGTCAGGGTTTATAAACTGATGAGTACAACTGTAGATGGAGTCTCATCTCACCTCTAACATGTCTGTGTCTCATTCAGCTGGAGAACCACAGCAGGACCTGATGGAGGCTGAGGACTCTCTGGGCTCTGTGGATCTGCTAACGGATCCATGTTATCTGTATAAATGTGTGTGATATATTATGTCTGATAAGGACGTGGGAGGTGGTACAGCAGCGCTCCCTGGTGGACAGGAGAGGCAATACATGCATATACGATATCTATCTATGTGTATATATATATATATATACGTGTATATAGGGAGAGGATGGACAGAGTGTTTCACTTCTAGAAAGATTAGTTCCAAAATGAGTTATGCATTAATAAATGTATTTGTTTGAATATATTTGTGACATTGTTATATGTGTTGCATTAGTTTAAAAGTTTTATGTTATGAATACATCGATCGACTGATTTTTAGGTAGACCTGTAAAGATGCTGTTACAGTAATCAAGCCTACTAAAGATGAATGAATGGACTAGTTTTTCCAGGTCCTGTTGAGACATCAGATCTTTTATCCTTGAAATATTCTTGAGGTGATAGTAAGCTGACTTTGTTATTGTCTTAATGTGTTTTTCTAAGTTTAGGTCTGCGTCCATCACTGCACCCACATTTCTCGCCTGGTTTGTGGTTTTTAGGTGTATAGATGTATGGAGCTGACTCAAGACACTAAAAGACCTCTCACAGCTACAGCTGCTAACTGGGTTTGTCAGGGCAACCTGAATAACAGTTTTCAGTTTGGGGAAGATCTGATTATCCAGAAGATTGTACAATGTTAACATATCTGGGATGGCACCAGCCTCACTCTTGAGCTTCAAACGGTTTTTGGCAACCGCGACTTCCTTTGACTGAAGTTCAACATGGTAATGCAGTGCCAGGGCTGACAACCCAGTTTGTTTTGCAGATTCTGTATAGCAGCTTTAATATAGGGAGAACACAACTTCCAGATTGTGTGAGTAAAATTAGTTTTGTTTTTTCTCTTTGTCAGTTTAACAGTTTCTGCCTGTCACTGTTCCCTGTCTGTTTCCTTACCTGCTTCTTCCTGACTTTGTACTTTCTCCTCACATTCTCCTCTTTCCTCTCTCCCTCTTTGGACTGACAATCATACACAAATAGATTGTGTTCAATTAGATTAAAAATTACTATTAAGATGACTAACAAAAAGTCCTCTCTCAGTTTACTTTCAACCAAAAGGCAAATATCTAAACCACATGAACATCTAATAAAAGATGTAAACATTGAAACACTGATCCAACATTATTC